GAGGGCGACTGTTACCAACGCCGATTAATTTAATCGACGATTAACTCAATCAGTAGAATTACTATTATAGACAGAAGATTTTCATTACTTTTATCACAATTAAGTATAGGAACGCAGAGATAGAAGTATATCACGAAGAGATAAGGTTAAGAACGATATACAGTCGTGCTGTTGACTACATTGCTGATTGAGTTAATCATCGATCAAGTTAATCGGCCTTGGTAACAGTTGCCCTGAATTTGTAGTTGGAAGTTTTACAGCCCTTCTACAATAAGCCGCAAGTTAGAAGTTCCAAGCGATCTCAAGTCATAATCTGTAAAGTTGACCGATAACCAACTTGAACGACTTGGTTAAGATTGGTTAAGACTTCTGGGTACCTATTATAGAACAAGTCGGAATCGATTCCGATCAGAAATATTCAATTATTCCCTAGATTTCTATTGTGTTTTCTAGGGAAAATGGAATAATTCCGATCGGAATCCATTCCGATATATTTCATGATAGGTACCCTGACGTTCTGACCTGTGGCTTATTGTAGAAGACTCATAAGAGACTTTCGACTACAGACTCATTGTAGACCCGGCATATAGGATATATCTTTAATATTACAACTACCAAACAGTCAAAATTATAGATTTGTAATTTTTTATCAAAATTACTCAAATTTATAACGGTATCTTTTTTGAGATCTTTCTTGTAATTTACTACAATATATAAAGGATTAAAAAGGGTGATTTACTTTTTTTATCTTTTTTTGTCACAGAACTCTGAACTATTTACCCTAACTTATGGTTCGATTGTGGCTCAGTTGCTCCAGGACTATGAAAACATGGAGGATGTTAACAAGCAATTGGAAAGAATGGGTTATAACATTGGAATACGACTGATAGAGGATTTTCTTGCAAAGACTGGCTCCGGCCGATGCTATGATTTCAGGGATACGGCAGAGAAGATTCAGAGTGGCTTCAAGATATTCCTAGGCATAACGCCATCGATTACGAATTGGAGCCTGGCTGGTGACGAATTCTCTCTGTGCTTCGAAACAAATCCATTAACGGAATTCGTGGAATTACCGGATAATTATTCGAATCTCAAGTACTGTAATATATTGCCTGGCGTGCTCAGAGGAGCCTGTGAAATGGTGCAAATGGAAATCGCCTGCTGGTTTATTCAAGATCAGCTTAAGAACGACAATTTGACCGAACTGCGTGTGAAATTTATTAAAAGGTTAGAAGATGCAATACCAGCGGGTGAAGATTGAATGTACCCATTACCTAAATATGTGCAAACGATATCTGTGATATCGTATATATCGTTCTAATGATTAAAATATATTTTATCTTTAAGTTTAAGATATATTATAACAATTATTTCTATCAATGTGTAGATTAATTTTAATCTTGGTTTCACTCACATTTTATTTTTTTATAATCCTTATTCTAGTGAAAATTCTCAGAATATTTCATATAATTTTTCAGAATTTTTATAGAAATTTTGCAAGATATTTACTAGATATAGATGCAACAGAGAAACCACCAGTGTCAGGGCTGTGGCTCAGTGGCAGCGGCAAGGTCTACCAACTCGGAACAGAGACCAGGTCTGGGATCGAGACGAGGAACGCCCTGATATTTTTCTCTGTTGTCAATTGTTCACAATTTCTAGATTTTATAATCTTTTAATAAATTTCTCAGAATATATAAATTGAAACACTTTTCAAAGTGCTGAAAAAGTATCTTTTTTTAAAATTTTTCATATATGTAAATTCTGAAATATTCTAAGATTTCTTCTTTTACAACTTTTAATAAAATCTGATCAAATCTGAAAATTTTTAAGTACTTCAGAAATTACAGAAGAAATCAGAATATTTTAAAATATTTTAAAATATTCTTAGAACTTGTATTTTATATGATAAATTCTAAGAAGAGATACAGATTTTCTCAGTATTTCTGAAAAGTATTTGAGTTTGTATAAAAATTATGAGAACAATTTTCACCAGAATAAAACCAGAAAAAATCTAAAATAAGTTGAATTGAATGAAAATTAATCTATATTAGTAAAAATAGACATGAGGCGTGTATTTTCGTCGTTTGCATTCCGCAAACTTTCAATTAAAGAAAATAAATATATAGTGGATTTTTTTTCACACACACGTTGATGTCAACGATAGTGAGACGCAATACATGATATCAAGGTTGTTTGCTAAAATTGTCTATCAAATTATTTCCTATCCTATTAAGATAAAAAAATTATATTTCTTTTTTATGCATAACTATAATATTTTTTATCGTTCTATGTGAAATGAATACAAAAATTTTCCTTCTAAATGATAAATGACATAGTTTTTCTTGCAAACAGTCCATAGTCCATATGTCCAATATTCAGAGTTGGGTAAGTTAATTTTTTTTTTAACTAAGTTAAGTTAAAGTTAACAACCTTGAAAATTTAACTTAGTTAAAATACAAGTTAATGTATAATAAAATTAAT